TATTCTATTCTATTCTATTCTATTCTATTCTATTCTATTCTATTCTATTCTATTCTATGAACAATGAAAACAATACAATAAAACTTTGGGAAAGGTGGATTTATTGTAACAATAAACTTATACACCTCCACTGAACCATCTGTACCTCCCCAAGGAAGGTACACCTCATAGTTTGGGAAACCCTGAGTTACAGTATTCTACTATCCTCCCTGGAACAGTGTTGCCAAAAGCAACACTAGGGAAAAGTTGATGAGAAATGAATGAGATCATGTAGGTACCCTGTAAAATATGGGTGAAATGAACTGAGAGATTCCTCCATTAAAGACTCATGTGAAAGAAGTCCATGAATTCCATATTGCCCTAAGAATATTTTGGCATGTGTTTAATATTATATAAGACTCTCCTAGGCATTACCAAAGCCGTCATATACCAAAGTGTGCTTATCCATCTATTTCTTAAAGGCATAGATGGAAAATCCTAGTATAACAGATTAAATGTTCGTCAACTTTTTCCCATGGCCTTTTACAGTATGTAGAATGTGCTCAACATCTGTTAACTATTTATATCAGGCATAGTTGCCCTTTGTGAGAAGTTTCTTACTGTCATCAGCTATTCTTAATTTTGAATAAGTCATTAATCTCCCTCTTCCAACTTCCCTGGTTTCTTTTGCTACTGATTAGGTGTGAGTATTATAGTGTTTAGGTGCAGGGTAATTTTCTTATATCTAAAAACTAGAGCAGGGTTAAATTTAAATTTAGACCGAGGAAGCATGATTTATTTCATGTTCTTAATGTATCACTTGAGGAAATGAAATAGATTTCCTGCTGCAAAATGTGAAATATGTACCATTATTCCTTTTTGGGGATATTTATGAGCAATTTGCTAACTTGAGGCCACTGGAATCCTTGGAATTTCTGCTCTATTCTTTCAGTGTTAGTCTTCTGCTTCTGCTCCTCTTCACCATCTTCTGCAGGATGGCTTGTTTTGGCTGAAAAAAGCCATGTCTTTACTACTCTAGAAAAAGACAGGTAAAAAGGCTGCTGAATTTATAATTATAAGCAATTTGTCAATTTGTACATAGAAAATCCTGTCTTTTCTTCTGTCTTTATTTTAGCCTTGGTGACCTTGCACAGAAAGAAAACACAATAGATTGATTTTGATCCAGTGCAGGTAGTCATCAGGTAACAACAGCAATTGGAACTGGAATTTTGGTTGCTAAGCAATGCAGTCATAAAGCATGATGTCATTTGACTGCATCGCTTAGTGACAGCGATTGGAGCAGTCCCCATTGTTGTCATTAAGTGAGGACCACGTGGGTCATTAACCGAGGACCTCACATGACTGCAGTGTGGAAAGAAGCAAGAATTCAAAAGCAATTGCTTATGCCGCTGAAACCGCATCCCAGGCAAGCAGGCCAGCAGGCAAGAGCTATAGGTGGGCAAGTGCCACAGGCAGGCGCTATGGAGTAAGAGATCTCCATACTGCCTAGAGGCTCCTTAGGAGAAAAAGCGTCGGGAGTGACTTGCAACCTCCTGCTGGTTTCCCCATTGAATTTGCTTATGGAAAGCCAGCGGGGAAGGTTACAAATGGTGATCATGTGACTGTGGGACGCTGCAATCGTCATAATTGTGAGCTGCTTGCCAAGCACCTGAATCACAATCGTGTGACTGTGGGGATACTGCAACGGTCACAACTTTGTAACTTCAAATGGTTGCTGAATGAGTGATCACTCTGCAAGGACAGCCTATAGTTACTCAACAGTGGAATAATTTTCATTCTTTCTGCATATAAAAAAAAATGAAATTCTGACATCAGTGTTAATATCAAGGCTGCTGTTTAGCCAGTCTAACAAGAAACAGTTATTAAAAACTACAGTACATGTGATGTTCTTTGCAGGTGGTTTCATTTTCATACAGCAACTCTGCAAGTTGTAAATGGGGAAAATAAGGAGTTTCTTTTAAGTTGTTTTGCTGTCTCAGATGTGTTAGAAGTTGTATCTAAGGTTTGTAATTTTGACAGGTTTACTGTCAAGAAAATCAGCATTGCAGTATGATGTATTATCATGTTCAGTGCTGTAGTCATTTGACATTCATATAACACCTTGAAGCTGATTGTCTGAAAATAAGGTTTAGTGTTATCAGAATGCTACTATAAATCCAAAGAAATTGCTAAAGTTCTGAATTTGTGCAATTAATGTGCTAAATAAGAGCAAATATTTCTGTGGAGTCCAAAGACAGGGTAATTAAAGAAGGATCTTTCTGTGCTGAAGTGGATTCTTGACTCCAGTTTGCACATTGATATATGCTGCATTCTGTCTTGAACCAGGATGTCCAAAGTTTAGCAGTAGCTGGGAATTATTTTCTATGGCTAAAGAAGTAACCAATCCTGGAGATTTTTGATCTGGTCAAAATGACATAGAATCACAGGGTTGGAAGGGACCTTGAAGGTCTTCTAGCCAATCCCCTGGCCAGTGCAGGAATCCTCATATCATTCTGGACAAATGGCTGCCTAGTCTTTCAGACCTCCAGTGATGGACCACCCACAACTTTGGGAGGCAAGCTGTTCTATTACTTAATAGCTCTCACAGTTAGAAAATTCTTCCTTAGCTCAAATTTGGATCTCTCGCTGTAAACCTTCCTCTTTCTGTGACAGCCCTTCACATAACAGAAGACTGCTATTATGTCTCCCCTCAGCCTTCCCTTTTTTAAGCTAAACATACCAAGTTTCTTTAACCGCTCTTCGTAGGATTTAGCCTCCAAGCCCCTTACCATCTTTGTTGTTCGTCTCTACACTTTTTCCAGTTGCTCAGCATCCTTTTTGTATTGTGACGACTAGAACTGGACACAGTATTCTAGATTAACTGGATAACAGGATAATTAACACATATGTAAATTGTAAATTGCTATGTAATTTGTAAACTGTAAATTGCTATGCATGGGCTTGCCTTTCAAAAGCATTTGGAAGTTCAGATGGTCTTTAATGCTGCAATTCAGTTATTCAGCAGCAAGGTTGTAGGAAGCGTGGTACAAAGAAGATCACGTTGTCACATTGAGATTAACCATATGGTTTAAGATTTTTGAGAAAATGTGCTCTCATTTTCACAGTCATGAAAGGCACATTTGGTGGAAAAGTGAAAAAAAGCATTTTTATCTGTTTTTAATTTATTTGTCTTTATGTTTTAGATTTGAATAAATATCTTACAGAAAAGTAGGTTAATAAATATAATTAAAAATAATAAATATTTAAATACTTGCATCATGTTCTTTAGCCTAACAATAGTGAATATATGTAAATAGTTATTTTACACAATTGTGTGATTTGTTTATTTTAAAGAACTTAAATTATTTATTTATTTTATTCATTTATTCAGTTTATATAGCCACACATCTCAGACCAGTGACTCTGGGCGGCTAACAACAATAAAAACAGTTAACATTTAAAGCAATACAAAAAATTAAATATAATATAAATGCAGCCAAGAGATCTTTAAAAAAGTCAGTATCAACACAACCATGAAACAGGGCCCTTCACACAATATTTACATACAATAATGTATATAAATATAAATAAACTAATGCTGGGCAAGTAATCGTCTTATTTTTCTGGCCAAGACTGATTCTTAGGCATACCTTGCCCTTTTTTAAAGCTCATCTCTCTTTC